TGTTTGTCTGAAATTCAAATTTAACTGGGTGTCTTGTGTTTTTATTGTTGCTGTTAAATCTGGCAATCCTATCTACAGAGCAGAGAAAGGAAAGAGCTTGGCTGCCTCCTGGGATTGCTCAGCCACTACACCAACTCTAAGTCACCTACTTCCTGACTTCTTGTTCTTTGAGACAAATGAGCCCCTATTTCCTTAAGCCACTGCTAGTCAAATGTTCACCTACCTGAGGACAGGCCCGTTCCTAAAGGACACCTGTCTGCTGCTTCTTCCATTGGCAGCTTTTGCACTTGACACTTTTACTCGGGTCCAGGTTAGGTACCTTATTTCCAAGGTTGCTGAAATCTGCCCAACAAATTGAAAACAACCACAGAATGTGTGCATATTACATTTTAGCAATTTTTAAAAAATGACTTTGAAATTGGGATGTGACTTAGAACAGGTAGGGTCTTAGATTAGATCTGTGTTTCTCAACCCTGGCTGCATATTAAAATCATCTGGGGAGCTTTTAACAAATAATTGCCCGTATCCAACCTTCAGATGTTGTACTCAACTGGTCCGGGGTGGGGCCCAGGTATGGTAATTTCAAAAAGCCTCTTACGTGAAATCATGTGCAGCCAGGGCCAAAAATCATTGCGCTAGATAAACTACTCTAAGTGCATGTAGATATGCTTACTCTGGGCCCAGGCTTCTTGTGAAGTTTATTAAAAGGTGGAACAAAGGGAGAAAATGATCCATCAATGCCTGATGACTAACAGCTGTCCCTTGCAAACCCACCATATGCTTGACTAGCCTGCCTGCCATTTCCCTGTTTCAGCCCCCAGAATGGCTATGGAATCACAGGGAAGGAGATACAGTGCCTTTCACAGAGCGCCAGAAACCTGGAGGCAGGGAGCTCACATCTTCTCCTCACTTGGTTCACAGGTCTCTGGAGAAGATATTAAAGATGCTGAGAAACTGGTAGGATTTACTCTGTATATCTCATTGGGTGGGATGGGGGGCGGGGAGCATACTCCATGGCTTGGTTTGTTGTGTTGTGGCATCTGCTGTTTGGGGGGAATGAAAGTCAATGAGTGGACTTGTGACTTTGAAGTCACCTCATTTTCTTGTCTGCTTGGTAGCAAAACTGAAAGTGTTTCTGCTTAGCGACATATTTTAGATCTCACCCTTTATGTCTCATTCATGATTCGGAAGTCACGGCCCTTCGGAGACCCTGGACACACAGAGGTGTCTGGTGGAAGTGGTTAATCCTCCCTCCGTTGGACTGTAAATTATGCTGAGGTTGTTCAAGTAGATCCCGCGCCCCAATGGAGAGTCCTTGCTTCATCCAGCCCCAGCTACTCCATGGTGCGCAGCTAAACAAATAATACAACCTTGATCTTGTTTGACCAGTTCCTCCACACTTTTGTTTTCCCTCTTGCTGCGGGCTAATCTTCAATCAGCAGGCACCTCCCCATAACAAGTGGAATTGCTGCGTGTAACCTGAATTGCATCGAGTTGCTTAAGTCCTTTTGATGCTGAACTAGTTTGTTTCGCACAGAAAGCCATCATGGTGCCTGGAATGTGGGTCCTCCTTTCCCCCACATTAACTCAATCAGGCAGCTTCCCTTTGCTGAGTACTGCAGGTCTCAGTTCTTGTTGAAAAGACAGACTGACCACATTACTTAAGTTTACACCCTGTAATCCTGAAAATAGACTCAAAACTGGTACCTTTGCTCTTTTTCTTCTGTGCATGCAAGATTATTCAGAAGGAATTTAGTCCAATAAATAAAACCCAATTCTACCCATAAGAACTTATTTTCTGTCTGTTTCCTCTAAGGCAGTGGTTCTCAACCTGGGGGTCACGACCCCTTTGGCGGTTGAGCGACCCTTTCATAGTGATCACCTAAGATCATCCTGCATATCAGATATTTACATTACAATTCATAACAGTAGCAACATTACAGTTATGAAGTAACAACAAAAATAATTTTATGATTGGGTCACAACATGAAGAACTGTATTTAAAGGGCCAGAAGGTTGAGAACCACTGCTCCAAGGCTTGTACATTATGACCCAGCCTCCCAGTTCCATGAGTCAAGGAGAAGAGAGATCCCTTTTATTCAAATACTAGAGGCCCAGTGCATGAAATTTGTGCACTGGGGGAGCAGGGGTTCTTCAGCCTGGCCTGAGCCCTCTTGCAGTCTGGGAGCCCTCGGGGGATGTCTGACTGATTGCTTAGGCCTGCTCCCCCTAGCTCTGACATCCTTAGCTCTGCCGGGGAGGCGGGAGAGGCTCCCGCCACCACAGCTACACTTGCCAGCCATGAGCCTGGCTTCTGGCTGAGCAGCGCTCCCCTGGTGGGAGCGCACTGACCCTCAGGGAGCAGCTCCTGCATTGAGCATCTGCCCCCTGGTGGTCAGTGCACATCATAGCAAGCGGTTGAGTAGCCTTAGCATATCATTAGCATATTATGCTTTGATTGGCTGAACGGATGACTGGATGACCAGACACTTAGCATATTAGGCTTTTATTATATAGGATATTTTACTTAAAACTCTTCTAGAAATATGCTGAAATGTTAACAGTAAAAACAAAGGCAAACTCTAATTGAGAGATGGAGACCTGAGCCAAAGGCTATTTTGCTCATTCCTGGTTGACGGAACAATCAACCTGGGCCTGAGGCTACGGGATATCTTTGAGTTTATTTTCTGAATGTTTGTTGGGTACAATTAACTCAAGGAGGAGTCACATATCACTACCCAGGATTTATTCTAGGGGAGAGCTAGAGGTTTTCTCAGTGGAAACTAAACAATCAGGACTCCGTATTTGGTTTCCATGGTCGGTGAGTCCCTGTGGAAGGCATTCAAGCTTTTGGGCCAGGATGAGTTGCATGCTGTTTACTGGTGGTCAGGAGTTACTGGCTGGATCATAGAAGGCAGAAAGTGGGAGGGGATTGTAGGAACATGGTACTCAGAGCATGTCTCCACTACTAACCCTGCCCATCTGCCTCCCCTTTCACCCCCCCCCCCCCCGCCCCAGTCAAGTAGTGGCTGGGGCTATACAGGATTGGGTGGGAGGGAGGTCCATGTGGTCTTAGGAGTACACCAGTGCAGAAAACTGGTGTGAGGCCTGTCTCCCGAGGGTTGGACAAGTTCCTGAGGCCAGTAGGTAGAGCTAGGCCTGCAAAGATTCCTACCCCCCTCAGCCCACCAGCCACAGGGAAGTTCTACATATAAAAACTAAAAAACGTCTTAGCCTGTTTAGCTCAGTGGATAGAGTGTCGGCCTGTGGACCGAAAGGTCCTGAGTTCCATTTGGGTCAAGGGCACGTACCTTGGTTGCAGGCTCCTCCCTGGCCTGGGCCCTGGTTGGGCTTGAGCAGGAGGCAACCAATCGATGTGCTTCTCTCACATGGATGTTTCTCTCTGTCTTTTTCCCTCTCTCTTTCACTCTCTCTAAAAACCAATGGAAAAATATCCTCAGTGAGAATTTAAAAAAATGAAAACTAAAATGCCTTCTAACTCAAAGGTTTTCGCCTACAATAATGATGTTTCTAGAGATTCAGTTTTCCCTCAAGAAGAAAGGACTTCATGATTTGTAACTGAAGTAGAAAAAGGGTTGCTTAGATAGTCAGCTCTCTCAAAAGACTGTGTGTGTGTGTGTGTGTGTGTGTGTGTGTGCAACCAAAGCTTTCAGTTGGGAAGAATATGTTGCTCGTTGTTATACAATTTAACACTCTTTGTAACTTAAGCTCACCTCGTGGCTTCCTGTACACTGCAGCCATGGTGCTGAAATGTTTGTCTATACAGACAACTTGCTGGCGAAAATCATTTTGTTCTAACTCTGCTGGGATAGATATGCTGTTTCCAAGCCCTCCTTAGATAGGCCTGCATTCCATGGATTGAGTAGTCTGGGGTGTTGGGACACTTGGATTTTGGTTCTCATTCTGGCCCTAGGTAACTATGTGATTTAGGGAATTGCATATTATTTATAAAATGGCAGGAAAGAGGGGACATGGGACACAGGCTAGAAACAGGCCTTTTCTACCCTAAACAATTCATTTCCATAGAAACAACTGAGGGACTTGTTCTCAAATATGAGTCCTAATCAAATCAGGGAGAATTGATCAAGTCATGGTGATGTGGTCTCTACATGAAACGAAGTTTTAGTAACACAGGAGCTAGAAGCAATTTGTGTAGGGTTTGTAAATGTAAACTTTGATGTAATGCAATACTACCAAATATTTTTATACTGCTTTCTTCGCCTTCTTATAAATCTCTGGACTGAGAGATTTCATTATACTGACTGCTTTGAGCTCCTATCTTATTCAATGAAATTACTGGAAGATCAGATAGTGTCTCCTACCTTTTGTTCCAGTGACGAGTCAGTTATATGGGAGATGGTTTGTGGAGAGCCATTTCTAAAAAACAGGTTTGAATTTCAAGGAAATTGACCAAAAAAAAATTAACCTAAGTGCAGATATTTTAAAATACCTTGAAACTTTCTTTTATAACCAACAACTAAATGGGGATAATTTTGCCATTACATAAACTTAACTTCAATAAACTAAAAACTGAACTGCAACAAGCATAATTCAACCACATTATTTTATTGAAAATGAAAAATATACAGAAATATTAATTTAAAATTTGTAAACTTTTAAAAATGAACAGTATTTATAAACATTTGAAAAATAGAAAACTGCATAACCACAGAGTTCATTCAAAATATCTAAGAACATTTCACATATATTCATATAAATTACTTTTCCACAAAGTTTGGTTGGAATGTGAAGATTGTAGTTAGTTCAATTTTATTAGTTTTATTAAGAAAAATAAAATATTTTTGTCGGAATCCTTTTGTATCGGTTTGTGTTGAGATAGTATAATGATGGAATTCATTTTCCCTTGAGTTACTTAAAAGGAGCTACTATGACACACATTGAGAAAAGATGAAGAATGTATGAAAACTGGCAACTAATGGTCCTTACCTATCTAGTAATAAGACTTAAGAATTAAGATGTTGATTCAAAGAGAACTAAATTTTATTAATTGTCTCATCTATCAGACATGATGTAGGATGCTTTCCATGTATTTAATTTAGTACCCTTAAAATAAAAGAAAGGTGTTAATTTTATGTTGCTAAAGCTAAACAGTTTTATGAATATTTTGCAATCTGAACTAAAAATAAAATCATTAACCATTAACCTAAGAATACAATTTACAAGACCAAAAATAAAATGAAAGTATTATGTTTACAGAATTAGGAAAAGCTTTCAATTTGGCTGTGTGAGGACAACTTTGTAATCCTTAACAACACAAGTGCAGATATTCACATAATAAACCTTCAGATATCATCGATATGAGATAAAGAAAGTATATATTTTAAATATATAGATATATGAAACTTCCAGTTAAGACTAACATGGTTAGTCTGAAAATGGGGATCCGGCTTTTTATTCCTCCTCAGACAATATATCCCTATTTGGAGAAATTTATTCTGAGTTTAAGGTTTGCAATAACATTTTAGTTTTTCAATGCATATTGAAGAAGCCCACCAGGGATTTTTAGAGTATGTGAAATATTTCATTGTTTCTCAACATATTTCAACTCGTTAAATTTTTTTCAGTCTTTCTCCCGGGCTTATATGTCAACACCAGTTTATTTTCTAACCCAGGGTACACATGGTTCTTGTGTTCCAAGAACCTTCAACCTGAACACAATACACCAAGGGCAAAGCTTTGTAACAGGTGACATTTAAGAAACATCTGACACTGAAATTCACAGCATCAGTGAATTTCCTCACCAAGAAGGATAAACCAATAAAGTTTTCAATAGAAAAAAAAAAGTAAAAGCATGTCTACATTTTTCAAACACTACCTTTTCCTACAAATTTGTGTTCATAGCTTATATATCTGATATACAATTACAGTGAAACAGCAGTCAACAGAGTAAACACATATTTGATCTGAGGTATCAACCCATGTATCTTCCATGGGTTATCAGTTTTCAGAAATTTAGAACACACTGAGTTGCACTCAACACTAAACTGCTGAAGAGATGATAACAGTACTTTAGGACTTGGCAGTCACCTCAGGTTGTCACTGTGAAATCAGTGATAGTTCAGTAGAACTGATAAAGTGCTAACATCAGTTTAACAGAATTCTGAATAACAGAATTGTCTATTATTACCCAGGGTAGACATGAGCTAGATTGCAAACAAACAACATCACAGACCTTTGATGTTAGAACAGATAAATCCAGTTCACCAGGAGGGTTTTTCTCTTTTGAATGCCACAGTTTTTTGGGGTTAGGATTTTTGTTTTGTTTTGAGAGAAGTAAGTTTAGAAGGCAGCTAATTTCTCCTTTTCTATTAAATCAACGAGTGATCAGAAATCTGTCCATAAACATTAAAGGCCACCAAAAGTGTTATTCCTGCTATGCACTTGGAGACAGGAACACTTTATGCAAGTTTCAATACAAAATTTTTTTTTCTGGCAGTAGTTCCTGAGGTCTTAATATTTTGTTTTCTAGGAAGCTAACTCCCCTTCTTATTCTTCCAAAACACTTATAGGTAAAATATATGGAAAACATGGTCAGCGTGAGAGTCAACAGAAAGAGACAATCTACCAATTATTGTGGTAGGTTATGTATATTTTCAAAAAGGTTTGTAACTAATTATAATTTCCTTAATAAGCTGGAAAGTGCTCAATTTCAAGAGGATGATTATTATAACTCATTCAGGTTTTTCACAAAGATTCTTCTAGTTGTTTCCAAATAGTTTGTGGAAAAACCAACCTTTGGGAATTAAACATTTGAGAAAAACTGAAGTGTATAATATCATCCTAAAATAATGTAGCAATTGCTTTACAAAAATCTTCATATCAGTAAGAAAAAAATGGTAAAATCAAGGAATAAAATGAATACAAGGATTTCCAAACTAAACTCACCTAGATGTCTCCAAAAACTCAATTTTGTCTTATGTTGTTCAGGTCTGAGTTAAAAGAACTCATGAACACAATCATTTGTGTTTCTTTTAGTAAAAAGAAAAAAAAGTGTTTCCTTTACTTAAGGTATAAATATTTCCCTCCTCCATTCTCCCCTTTTTACTTTGTAATAAACTTCTATGATATGTCAATAAATTACAATTACAATCCATAAGCTCTTCATGGACACATATTTCTTTGCATTCTAACACACCAGGAGCAGATTTCCAGAGCCGGCCTATTCTTCTCTTTAACACTCTACCCTTCAGCTACCATCTAGTTTAGCTAAATGAAGTTGGAAGGGAAGGGAAAGCCTCAGTGATCTCACTTCTCAGTTTCAATAATTTGAAACTATGACTCATCAGAGAGTGACTGATACTCTGCTTATCAGCACACAGTTAAGTTTATTAATTACTATGAAACCAAGACTAGCAGCCAATGAAATGAAGAACCACCTGGCCGGGCCAAATATACTGCGACCAGAAGGAAAGAGATTTCAAGTTTGCAGAAATGAGAAACAACAGAAGTCTTCTGGAGGATGATCAAAATCTTGATTTTTCAAAGATGATGGCCAAAAATGAAGGCATTTTTATTTGGCCTTACATCTAAATTATTAGTTAGGACCTTAAAAATGTCAGCTTTCCTAATAGTTCTGCAGGTATTCCTTCTCCTCTCCAAGTGTCTCTTCATGGTTCAAGCCCAGTGTTTGTAGAGACTTTGATCATTCACGAGTCCTGCTAAACAAGGTAATGTCATCCTCATATCCCGAGGTTGAACATTCTATATTCTCTAGTAAGACATACTTGTCTTCATTGCCATTCAGAGAGAGGGCTTCTTTCTGAGTGGATGTCAGGTCACTCCAGGTGATGTCTGTGTTTTTAAAAGCATGTAGAAGGAAGATGCCATTGATAATGGTGAAGAACCCACTCAGGGTCCCGATGATATCTCCAGCTCTCATGCCATACCATTCTTGGAACAAGATGGCGGAGCACATCACTACCATGGTCGTAAAGAACACATAGTAAATGGGAGTCACAAGAGATGTATTAAAGGTGTCTAGGGCCTTGTTGAGATAGTTAATCTGTGTCGTCACTGAAAGCACAAGCACAGCCAGCAAAACAAAGACCAGGGGGTTCTTATAAACTGGCTTCCATTCCAATAGTTCTTTAATGGCGATTCCCAGGCCCTTCACAGAAGAAACTGAAAATGCTCCAATCAACGAGCAGATTGAAATGTAGACTAATATGTTGGTCTGTCCTTTCTTGGGAGCCACGATCAAAATCAGCACCAAGGCGATCATGGTAATGATCACAGCAAAGGAAATGAATCCTGTGAGGAAGAGAAAAGAATTAGACTTCAGAAAATGCTCAGAGGATCATGTCTTTGTGAAGTCTTATTAGTCAGGAGTTTAGGAGCACAGGTGTTTTACAAAGAGAAGTGAGATTAAATGAAAACAACAACAACAAAAAACAACAACACTTGACTGCATAGCTCTTTATATTTTACAATGGACTTTCCCAAACATGTCATTTGAATCTCCCAGAAAATACTGTGAGGCATGGAAGATATTGGCTGATTGACTTTTTTAAAAAAATATATTTTATTGATTTTTTTGCAAAGAGGAAGGGAGAGGGATAGAGAGTTAGAAACATCGATGAGAGAGAAACATTGATCAGCTGCCTCCTGCACACTCCCTACTGGGGATGTGCCCACAACCAAGGTACATGCCCTTGACTGGAATCGAACCTGGGACCCTTCAGTCCACAGGCCGAGGCTCTATCCACTGAGCCAAACTGGTTAGGGCTGACTTTTTATTTTTAGAGGAGTGGCCAAATTTGGGTTGGCGCGTAAGTCTTTAGCCTCTCCTCTCCCCATGTCTTCATTTCATTGTGTAGAGGGAAAGCATGGACACAAAAGTAAGTTGTGTCATCTTTTCAGAAGACTTGGAATACACAGTGAAACTTAACTGTGTCTCTTAATGCACGACTTGGATTGTAGGAAGCCTATTACAATATTATTACAAATTCATTTGATGAAGAGAGAAAGTGGAGCAGAATTTGAGTGTTTCCTTTGGTTGAAGCACTGACCTGGGTCTCTCAATTTCATTTCCATTTCATGCAAAGAAGCGACTTCCTCTTCTTGTGGGGCATGGATAACCATCACAGTTGACCCCAATATACTTAATACGCAGCCTATTTTCCCATGAATGTTCAAGTGCTCATTTAAAAAATAGGAAGATAATATTGCACTGTTGGGAGAAGAAAAATAAATGACTCTTGTCCAATTACCTTTTGATTCCATAGCAGCTCAGAAGTCACACGGTGGCACAAGCCACTGTATCCCAATCAACTGATCTGAATGTGCTACGTGACACTGAAAACCCTGATTAGTTTTAAAACACAGAAATGATGGTCAATCGTCTCTGCTTAATTGCTTTTATATCTAAAGAGTAAAATAGACATTCTATACCCCTCTAAACTTCCCATGACCTTCTAAAAAGAGCCCACTCAATTCATTTTCAATTTTTTCCATCTTTTCCATCTTATTGGCATGATACACTTAGAATACACATGTTCATGAAAACGTTAAAGAAAGATATATGCTTAAAGATTTACTCTGCTCAGGACAGATATTTAGCTAGAACACATAAGTACAATCATATGGGATGTCAAAATATTGAAATATCTCCTTACCAGCTGCTCCTGCCTGATACTTTCACCTACCCAATGCTCCCACTACTTTGGTTGCCACGGTCTCAGGTAGTTCCAGGTTGGCATCACCATGGACACCAGACTGTGCCATCCTGCTTCTTCACCGGCAGGTATGCTGTGGCTCCTGCACACCAGCCTCCTTCCCCTGATGCCCTGGCATTCCCACCAGGGTATTACCAGTACCCATTTGCACACGAGACTGGTCAACTACCAGGTGTTTTCTAAGAGTCGCCCTGCTGTGGCCACTTGTGAGGTCTTCAGCCTCAGCAAAAACATAGCTGTCATTCACTGTATAGACAGTGTTCTAGTGCTTTATGTGTATTGACTCATTGAATTCTCAAAACAATCCTACAAAGAAGGTGGAAAGAAGTGAGTAGGCCTCGTCATAATCTTTCCACCAGAGGTTGATAATGAATGGAGATAAAAGGAAAAGAAAAACAAACAAAATAGTTGCTTAGCTACAAAATAAGAGTTCATGGGCTCATTGAACACATTCATTTGGGATCGTAAGAAAGACTAAGAAAGATTAGATCCACATTCTATGAACGGGAAATTTTTCCTGTTCCCAGTACTAAAAGAAACAAAGAGACCTCCAAACAGAAGTATCCAGTAGTAGATGCAAGACTTTTAGCCAGAGTTGAAATTTAACCCAAACACTATGCTTTTTAAAAGTCCTCTAATAGCAATGGTCATTAACCACTATGACAACAGAGAGGATTAAAAGGGCTGTGGCAATTTGTTCAGGTGAGAGAGAAAAAAAAATCTGCTTCGTTGAATCGTTGAAACATAACACACAATTCCTTTATGTGAGCATCAAACCAAGCTCACTCTCATAGGTTTTCTAAAAAACAGTAAGGCAATCTATTTCCTATTTCTCCTACAATTTATGGTGTAGTCTTCTCAAATTACTTTTGTGATTTCTGGATTTTGTTTTGTGATATGCTTAGCAATATGTTTCTTGTGGGGCTAAGCTTATCCTGGTTTTAAAATCCCTACAGAAGCCACACTCTTTCTGGCTCACGTACCTGATGAGAACACTCAGCGCGCCCAGTGGCGTGACCAGCGTGGCGGGTGCAAAAGCATAAGCTGCGAAGTTTGCAGCCTCCCCGGCTCCCACTGGAAAGCAAGCAGCAGCATTAACATACAAGATGGACTTCCTTGTCGGGAGAGAAAAACAAATGACAGATGCAAAGCTGTAGACTATGATCCCAAAGACACTGACACGTTGGACAAAAAGGAATAATTGACTCTTTTTAGGGGGGGAGGGGGAAGATTGGTAATAGGGATGCAGATAAACCATAATTACCTGGTGATACAAGCTCAACTAACACAGAAAGTGGTGATGGATACACATCGTAAAGGACTTTCAAGAAAGATTTTAGTTATTTCAGTAGCAGAAACATATATGGTCACTGATGAAATCTAGTAGAGGTGGCTTTGGAGTAAGCAGAGAATTATTCTGTTTGCTCAAGAATAACTACTGTTATGCAAATTAACAATAAAACAACTCCTAGAATTGGAATGCCCAGTAGAGATCTACTGCCTGGGCTGGGGACAACCAGACACGCCCACCACAGGCCCAGGTAGCCAGGCTTCTCTGAATTGCAGATGACCAACGAGAATGTAACACTATCTTAGTAGCTCAGGGAGATCCAAGCACCCGTTTTAAAGTCATCATAATGTGCTCCAGCAATCCCTTTTTTAGCTGGGGAACTCTAAACTTCCGTGAGCTAGTGTGATGCAAATAGCTTCTAGAGTGAGAGAAAACTCCTCTAAGAGCTGGGTCCTCCATTTGGGGCCAAATTATTCTCATGGGTCACAACTGAACACCTGAACACTTGACCACGGAATGTAGTATTTCACGCTGGCCAACTATGCAAAATAAACTTATTGTAGAGAAAGTTCTGGAACAGATGAAAGACACCAGCATACTTTTTCTTTTCTCCTCTGGCTGCTATGCCCCAGCCCCACGCCCCCAGCCAAAAGTACAGGAGTACTTAGCTTTAGGAAAACATCATAAGACAAACAGAAATAATTAGGAGACTCCTCTCATAAGAAAAGCAATGGCCGTTTTCTTAGAATATTAAGCTTTCTTGAATACTTTATATTTTTATCTTTATAGATGACTTTTCAAGAAGATAAAGGACTGTAGAAATTTATTTTTATTCATCATCTTTTTAGATTCTGCCATTTGTCAAAAGTATTCCAATTCTTTCTTATAATAGGATCTCACAGATACTGCAATAGTACAGGAAAATAAATGGAAGTTTTAAGGTTTCTGGCTACAGATGTAGATGACTAGCAACTGGTGTGAAACTACAATGTACGAGGTCCTTTCTTTGGAAGTCAGAGGTTCGGGATTTAAGAAAGTTCAGAGGCATTAGGAGGGAGGTAGAAATCTGCAGAGGGGCCTGAGGGAGGTAAATGCCTTCTATTTGGACATCACCTTGGCATTTAGAAAGAACTTTCAGATGCTACAGAGTCCCATTTAATCCTCAGAGCCCATTTAGGTGGAAGGGGAGTGCTGACAACCTCCATCTCTCCCTTTCATGATTTTCAACCTTTTCATCTCATGGCACACATAGACTAATGGCTAAAATTCTTCAGTACACCAAAACATATATTTTTTTGCCCATCTGACAGAGAAAATAGGTATAATTTTGATTCATTCACACCAAATGGCTATTGTTGGGTTGGCTGTTGTCATTTTATTTATTTGACAATCTAAGGGAAAAGAGGTCAGTGCCCCTGACTAAATAGTCAGGTATTGCATGTTTTAAAAATTCTAGCGGCACACACCAGGTGAAAATCACTGCTCTGTTTAGTTGCCAAGCAGTCAGAGGGGACTTGAATTTATCCCTGTTTTGGTCCTGGCCAGGAAAATGTACCCATTCCTTAGAAAATATGTAGTTAGACTAGTCCCAAATTTTAATTCAGTGCTGGGAAAATGTGGGGGGAAAGCATTTTCTTCAATTATTATGGAGAACAGAATAAGAAAAAGAGAAGTCCATGATAAAATATAACACTTTACATGTTAACTTTTCCCTTTGCATTCCAAGATAGTATTGAGAACATGGAGTGGGGAAGAAGGGTAAAAATAAATTTTAAATAAATATGACTTATTTTATATATAAGGCAATATGTTATACTTGCAAAAGTTGCTAGACTTAAATGCCATCCTTGCCAGGCAGTTAAATCAATCAATTTTAAATAATTCCATGTAATCTATTTATCATTTTGCAAGCAAACACTATTCTCAGCATTAAGGACTTACTTGAGAGTAATCCTGCCCACCAGAGCCATTCCTTGAGGTAGGAATGTCCACCTTGACCTAGGAAAATAATAAAAATGAAAAGTAAGTTCTTTTTTAAAATACATTTTAAAAATACATTTTAAAAATATTTTTATTGATTTCAGAAAGGGAGAGGGAGAAATAGAAACAACAATGATGAGAGAGAATCATTGTTCAGCACAACCCTTTTTGGGGATAGAGCCTGCATGTGCCTGACCAGGAATCGAACCGTGACCTCCTGGTTCATAGGTTAATGCTCAACCACTGAGCCACACTGGCTGGGCAAAATTAAGTTCAAACATGAAGGAAGGTTTGGAGAATTGACTTCTAGCTACTGGAATATGGTTGGAAAAGGCAAGATTAAAGCTATATCAGTATACTTAGTCTTTTAGCCTATTTACGTGGCCATTTCCAAAGATCCTCTAACACTTTCTAGTATTATATTTTGCAATATTTTACCCAAGTCATTTTCTTTCTAGTTTAGGTGTTTAGTTATAGGTGTTGCCATATAGATTTTTTTTTCAATACAGATCCTCTCTTCCTTTATATAGAATAGTTTCTTCTTTTATCTCTATGCTAAAAAGGCCTTTTATTTTTTTTAATTTAACTCTAAACTATGTATTATTTATTTTGATGAATGGTATAGAGTAGGACTTTTATATTTTCTTCCTCTAATTTTTGCCACTTGTCTCAATACTTTTGATTGAATAAGACATCCTTTCTCCAGTAGCTCAAAATGCCACTTTAAAAAAATCATACATTAAATTGTTGAATGTACTTGGGTCCCCTTAGACATTTTTAATTATCTTTTATTGTGTTGTCTTTTTAAATTAAGATAGCACTATCGCATGTTCTATTTTCTGGTGGTGTAAATCTCCCCTCAGTAGTACTCTTTTATAAACTTGCTTGCACAATTTATAGTTATTTATTTTTCCATATGAACCTTAGAATAATATTTAGCTCTGTTATAATATTATTCTTGATAAGAATGAATGCGAAATTCATGGTTAATGAAGGATAGTCAAGCAGAACTATTTAGCATGTTAAATGTCAGTATTAACAGCAACCTAATTCTATGGCTATCCATTTGATTTAACAAATATTTATTGGGTGGCAAACACTATGCTAGGGAAGGCTCCTGTTCTTGTGAATCTACTATTAATAAATAAGTAAACCATTGACAAGTAAACAAACAATAAACGTAAAAGGACAAGTTATTCTAGGTACAATGAAGGAAACCATTAGTGCAAGGACAGAGCATGCTGGTGTGGGAGACCTGTCCAGAGAGAATGGCCAAGGAAGGCCCTTCTGGGGTGATGGTATTTAAGCTGAGATCTCAAGGAGGAGTCAGGCAAATGAAGGGCTGGGAGAAAAGAGCTCCAGGCCGAGGGGAAAGACTTGAGGTGGGAAAGAACTTGGTATATTCCAGGAACCAGAGAAAAGTAGGTGACTGGGAGGGTAGTGGAAGATGAAGCTGGGGAGGTAGCAAGGACCAATTCATGCAGGAGGTCAGAGTCTGTGGGAAGATGTTAGATTGTATCCCGAGCGCAGGATCTGACTTTGACCCTGAGCCTGCAGAATAAAGCTATGAAAAGAAGAACCTGTACTACACTCCAAACCTCTAGAAACAAGAATTTTAGACTTTCCCTAAAGGAGACACAGCTGGTTCAATCCTGGAAACTGCTGAGAAAAGAACTGCTACCAATGTAGATAGCTACAATAAATAGACAGGAGCATGATGATCTTAAAATAGGGTTATTTCTGCAGTTAGCAACTTGAATTCGTTAGTTGCATCCGTTTCTTACCAGCTCTAGTAACGCCCTTGTTGGCCAGTTGCAAGAGGCCCTTCTTTTTCAATATGAAGCTGGAGCCAATAAAAATACTGGAACTTACAGCCAGGCCCAGGCCCACATAAAGACTGTATTTGTTTTCTACATTTGCAGAAATGCTCAAGTTGGTTAGGCTGGAATTCAGGTCCCTGTAGAGGACAGGAGAAGCCAGCAGCTGTGACACATTTGTGATCTCACACCAAGCCTGGGAGGAGTTTGGACAGACCAAAGACAGCACGTAGCCTGGAAAAAAAGGAAAGAAGAAAATGTCAACAAACAATAGGGTGATGCATTCATGTTTACTCCCCTTCTGCAAGAAAGAGAAACTTGAGTGGACAGCACTGAAACTCCATTTTCTATTGCACGAAGGGAAGTGCCCAGCAGATGGTGCACATGCTTGATTTGGCTGACATAGGTCCTTAAAAAATGTTTAAATTTGTTTAGTTTTTATTACTTAAATATGAGAGATTGTGCATCAAAGTCTGGGATCCTCTTATAAATTGGAAACTTTTGGCAATAGTTGGTTCTTTGTTCTAGAAAAACAGTAACCTGCTCCAGCAGCAGGAAGCTGCTTAGATCTGGCTTGCGCTCAGAAATTCATCACAGTTCCCAACCCCCCCGCCCCCCCCACCCCCCCACATCCACTTCTCTCCTTCACAGTGTCAGTCCGTCTCCTGGAAAGCAGTGTCTGTGACACCTGAATGTCGGGAAAGGGAACAGCAACCCATTGGGCCAGAAATCACCACCTTACAAGAATTTAACGCATTTGGTGGGGTATGAATTATGCACTTCGAAAAATGTGTTTAAAAATGGGTTCCATTTTCTGTACCACATTCCCTGAAGGGAATGATTTTTCAGGCCCACTAACCCACCTTCGCCTAAATAAAATAGAACCTGAGAGAAAAATGAGTTCACCATCATTAGGCTTTATTTTAGAACTAGAGGCCAGGTGCAAAAAATTCGTTTACTGGGAAGAGGGTGGGGGAGTTGTCTCTCAGCCTGGCCAGTGCCCTCTCACAATCTGGGACCCCTCCAGGGATGTCTGACTGCTGATTTAGGCCCGATCCACAGGGATCAAACCTAAACTGGCAGTCAGACATCCCTCTCGCAATCCAGGACCGCTCGCCCCTAACCACTTGCCTGCCTGCCTGCCTGCTCACCCATAACCGCTGGCCTGCCTGCTCAGTGTGCATCATAGCAACCGGTCATTCTGCCTTAACGGTCACTTCAGCTTTTTTTTTTTAATATATATTTTATTGATTTTTTCACAGAGAGGAAGGGAGAGGGATAGAGAGTTGGAAATATCGATGAGAGAGAAACATCGATCAGCTGCCTCCTGCACACCTCCTACTGGGGATGTTGCCCGCAACCAAGGTACATGCCCTTGACCGGAATCGAACCTGGGATCTTTCAGTCCACAGGCTGACGCTCTATCCACTGAACCAAACCGGTTAGGGCTTGCTTCGGCTTTTATATATATAGATGGGATTCAAATAAGCATGTAAAGTTACTGAACACAACCCATTATTATTGAAAGGAGTTTTTAGGGGTAAAATAGTCAGGTTTAGGGAGTCTTAGGAATTAAGGGGCCCATGGGGGAGGGAGGCACAGTTGGTTGGGAACTTGAAGCTGGCAAAAGGCATAAATTCACAAAGAACAGAAGGCACCACAGAATAAGGGGAAAGGAAGACACCCATTCACAGAAGATAAGGGGAAAACCACAGGGAATAGAGAAACAAAAGGGAGAAAGAGGAAAACAGATTTTCATAGGGTATAGAGAATTCTACCACTGAAGCGGGGAGAGAGAAAGAGGGTCCCCATGTAGGGTTTGAGCTTTGAAGCTGCTATAGTGACCAATAAGAAGGGAGCATCAAAAGACAAAGAACTGCAGCCTTTATAAGCCTTAGGAACAAAGGACTCAGTGGACTACTCCTTTTGGGACCCCTTCACCACGTGGGAGTCTGTACTTGTTCCCAATCAATTTCCACCTTTTGTCCGTGGCTTCACTCTTCGAATCCACCTGCACAAGAACCCAGGAAAGATACCACCTTTGCTTGCTGCCCAGAAAATATGATGATACTACAGCCAATCTTCTTCACTTGGGAATTCACATCTGGGGTTTCTATTTGAAGAAATGATCTTTTGCAACTCCGCCTTTGTGATGTGTTCTTTTCTTTTGCTTGGGGTGTGCAGGGGGAATGGAGTATGTTTCTGTAGTCCATGTATATGAGCAGTATCACCCTGGTATGATGTGCATATTAAAATTCACATCTTTCCATTAAAAAAAACCAAAACAAAACAAAAAACACACCACGTGTTCCAGTTTGGCTTCCGCATTTCATTATATAAGTACCTTGGAATTTTAAGGCTAAACACTAAAACACCAAATGGAAACATTTTACACTATATTGCAAACTTTTTGTAATCTGTTCTCTACTTGAAAAGCTGTCAACAGGTGACATCGTGATTAGATTTTTTTTACTGTCTTCTCAACTTTTTTTTTCATTATAAAGCCACATTTTCTCATTTTGAATTATCCTAAATAGAAAAGGGCAAAGAAAAATTAATCAAGTAACAAGTTTAGAATTGAATAAAAAAAAATCAGTTTTACATCTCAAAAATCTTAAGAATGCATAACAAACTAAAACAAAACAACCAAATCAGTTTGATCAAATGATGTCTTACCAACAAAACTTTAATAATTGGATGGATGCCTCCCTGTCAAACATTATGAAGACATCTGAATTTTACTACATATAAAGTTATGAAGCAACCAAAAAGTTCAGGTCAAGAAAAAGGTAAAAAAAAATGTGAATTTAAGCTTTCCATGATTATTATTTCATTTATCTCTGCAACTTGAAGATGAATCAACTTTGATTCAGAGATAGAGGATAAATTCTGAGACAAAACTTATATTCTGAGGAAAATTGTATTACTTCAAGGATATTCTATATTATTGACAAATTTTCAGTCAGGTTGTCTTACTAAGAACTGCAGTAAATTTTCAGACAAACTAGACCTGTTCTGGGCACTGTTCATTTCATTTAAACCTCAAGAATGGAAAGTCATTTTAATAGTAAGAATTTCAATTGGTTTAATTCATGAGAAAACATGTGATTGACTTTCCAGTAGATTCCATGGCTACATTAATGTCACTTACTGTGCAGTAACATAACCATTCCAAAACTTCATCTCTGAAAACAGTGTGGGTGGACCTCATTCCAGTGAAACAATATTCTTTTTAAGCTGTTGACACAGCAAAATGTTCCCAACATTTTAGGGGGTGTGGGGGCAGAGGGTGATAAGGGACAGCAAATAATCTTTGTTGCATTTTGTAAGTTCTCATTGTAAGTGGCAGACATTAATGCTGCATGTTTTATGGCAGGCCAAATAATAAAAATCTTGTCTAGTTACTGACCTTAGAACTTATTTTATGTTTTGGGTGTATGTTAAGGAGAGAGCCTGCAGCAGATGTGACTGAAGGAGGGAGTGAGGGAGGGGATGGTGAGTTGGTGGGTGTGGAGTGGAGAGCAGCAGGGGCGAGGAGGGTGAAACAGGATGTGTGGGCAGGGACTTTGGAGTGTTCCAGAGGAATCAGAAAAATCTCCAAATCAGAATTGGATTTTAAAGATTTGTGTGAGCAAAGTAATTATATGGGGAATTTAATCCAAATTTTATTAGACATAGAAAGAAAATTTATTACATTCATTATTTTTCATTTTAATAGACACTGCCAATAACCCTGTAAAGTGATTGTACCAACTTATACTCCTGCCAGCAGGGAGCATACATTAGTTCTTTGATGTTGTTATTACTTGGTTTTCTAAATATTAACTAATATTTAGAAAATATGGGTCAGTTATAAAGAAAACAATTCAATAGACACTAATGAATCAACCACCCAATTTAAGAAATAAAACAGTACCCCTCAGAGGTAACGACCATCCTGATTCTCCTTTGCTTAAAAAGTTTTCCCTGTGTGATTATATCTTCAAACAATAAATTTAGTTTTGCCTGTTTTTGCACATTTAAAATATAATCATTCTGTATTCTCTGGTGACCTGCTTGTTTTTGAGATTTATTGATGTAGATGCGTATGGCTGTAGGGTTCCACCCCACCCCCCACTGTTCTATAGGATCCCACTGTATGACTATCTCACAATTAATTGTTGTTTTATTGTTGGTGAACATTTGGGTAATTTGCACTGTTTTTGATTTTACAAACAGTATTGATAATTTCTCAACTATGTTGAAACATATGTACTTGATATATGACAATTGTTGATGCTACAAAAATAGCAGTTTCATATGGTTCAACTTAATATATATCTTCTATGTATAGGTGTGAGAGTTTACTCACACACACACAATTTAATAATTTAAAAACAATATTACATTTCCTCTAGGAATATATGCCTTTTCCCTTAAGCTCTATTACTATCTGTAATTATGGGCAAGTTGAGTAATCAATCACTCTTAGCTTCAGTTTCCTTATCTCTAAAATAAGGGCATTTGACTTGATTCTGAAGATGCCTTCTATAATCTGGTGGTTTGATCATAAGCTATCTTTGTTCCCAGAATAATTTATTGATGATCCTGGTAGCTCATAAATGTTGCCAATGGACCAGCTCTAAACTCACAGGCACTTTTAGTTGGAAGGCATTTTAAAGAAACAGATGCCAGGATATTAAGTGACTTGCCAAAGTCGTGTAACTGCCCAAACCAAGACCAAGTAGCTATAGCTAATGTTGAGAGAGAGAGAGAGAGAGAGAGAGAGAGAGAGAGAGAGAGAGAGATCAGTGCAGCACCAATTTCGAGCCAGAGGGGAACAGAAGCTATGCTGGACTCATGTACTGCAGCTCTGGGTCCTGGCCTTCCTCCTGGACTGGTGGGGACAAGTGTGTGCCTGTGGCCCCAGAGGCTGTACTTCTGCATCGAGATGGAGCTGAGCCACCTGGTCATGGGTGAGACATCGGGCATGGTGTGCCTGAGGGCAGTTCTTTGTTTTCCCTCAAGTATATCTTGCCACTGTACCTCAAGTCCTCCTATGTGTGCGTTCCTGAAATGCATTTTCTGTAATACAGTGGAATGATCCTAGTTCCTCTGGCAATACCACAAGAAGGAGACAAATCCAGGTGGACATGTAGCCTGATGCAGAGACACCCAGGGAACCCAGTCGACATTAGTCAGCTATCAGCTTAACTGCAGACACATAAGCACGAATATACAGGGTGAGGCAAAGCAGATTTACAGTTGTGAGTATGGGAAACAGAGTGTATTATTGTATTATTATTTATTAATGATTGTACTGTTTTCCATACAAACAACTGTAAACCTACTTTTGCCCCACCCTGTATGATTGTTATTTTAGCCACTGAGTTTTGGGTTGTGTGTTATGTAGCAATAGCTGACTGATACACCTACCTATTCCTATTAGCAAAGTAAAGAATGAATGTGTCCCTAAATTTATTCTGCAGATCACATTTTTATTGAGTGTCTATTATCTGTCAGGCATTTTCTAGAAGCTGGGGATACAACAGTGAACAAAAGAACATTCCTACTCTCTTATAGTCATTCTAATGAGGGGAAAATAAGATAGACAAATGAACTAATAACTACATAATATGCTGAGTGCCATGGACAGTGGTAAAAGCAGCATAAAGACATACTTTTTAAAAAAACAACATTAAATGTAAAACCTCTCTGCTAAGTATAAATGCAAAAATCTTGAGGGGGCAGTTTGCTTGCGGGTGGGGGGCGGGGCTGCAATCCGACAGGCTGGCTGGGCTGAGTGATCAGGTTGAAGGATAGCAGAGGACAAGATCAGGTGAAAAGAGCCTTTACACAAGTAGGTCCGATGTTGTCATTTCTGCTTCCCAAATTCTACAATGGCTTCCCTCCTCATTCAGAAAAAATATCCAAAAGTCCCACCACAGTTTACAAGGGTCTACAGAATCCTGCCTCCAGCTACCTCTGCAACCTCATTCCCTACTATTGTTTTTTTTTTCTCTGTTCCTTTCTTAGGCTAAGTTTCTTCTCACCTTAAAACTTTTAAGTAACCCTTACTTAGCCTGAGTAGTGAAGTAGTAGCTGGCTGATGAGGAGCTACTTCCTCAGAGAGACCTTCTCGCTCTTCCCAATCTAAAGGAACGTCTCAGTCAAGTTCCATCATATCACCCTACTTAATCCTGCCAAACTTCTCACAGTTCAATTATGGTTTTATACAGAACAGTATTGTATATCCATAAAGCTTTTCCATGAATTCATTCAACAAAATAGTTGTTGAACACCTACCACACAAACATATGTTAGGTATTCATTTATTCAACACTTAGTGAATTCTTACTGAGTACTTCCTGTGTGCCGTGCCCTGTTCTAGGAACCTGCGAGATAGTGATCAACAAGGTAGGTAAACAGGTTTCTGTTCTCACAGAGCTGATGATTTTAGTGAGAGAACAGAGGAACAGGAGTAAGGGGAGCAGAATAGAATGAGTAATAATTTTGAGTAAATTCGGAAATCATTCATAGTAGACTACATATCAACTCTGTTAGGATGAGGAAGAAGCCCATTATTTCAATTAACCAAAATAAAATTGAAAAAATACTATTGATTTTTTTTTAAGTTAAAAACCTGTATCTTCCCACCATCAGTGTGTTTGGAAGCCAAGAAGTCCAATAATTTACTATCAGATTTCCTACATAAACTGTTGTTTTCACTTTACAATCTGTATATTACTAAAGTCACTAAACTGTTAAGATAAAATTCCCATAAAGTTAATAAATGATTAATGAATGAAGATGCAGGAAAAGAACCCAAGGACTAATATTGCAATAAGGATGCATTTATATCAAGGTTTTTAAACCTTGATACAGTTCATATTAAATATTAAATTCAGCAATTAATAGTATATTGTTTTCTGAACAAACTTTAGTGGGAAATTTTTACTACCTTTAAGCACTTTTAAATTTCACCACTTAGAAAATCTCTGGAAGGCTGGGAAAACAACTTGTGCAAAAATTTAAACTTTAGTAAAAATCAACATATAAGCCACTATATTTTACACCGAAAATACAGCTTGTCCTGATAATACAAATTGTGTTCATTTGGTGGAATTTTGAGACATGTTTACAATATGGATGTTTTTAAAGAGTAAAATCTCAGAATCATTATACTGTATACCATTGAACCAAGAGGCCAGAGAATGGAGATGGGCTCCTACAGAAAAAATAAAGGCCCCAATAATTTTGTGCTTAGTTTGATCACTAATTATGAAACCTTATTCAATTCTCTGGGCCTTGGTTTCTGTATCTGCAAAAGGATATAATGGTTACCTAATAAAACTCACAGAATTGAACATGTGTGAGGGCAAACTGGTATATTTTTACGTTGACCTGTTTTGAAAATTTAAGATTCTATACATGGAAAAAAACAGATTAAATACATGAAAGTGGGACACAACGCTCATCAGTACATGAGAAATACAGCCAGTTCTTAAAGAAATGCACAGTTCCTGAATCTTCTCCTCTCAAAACCACGAAGACAGGCTGCACCAATTCTAAAACCACCTGTCATTTGTCACTCTTCTGGTTGGCTGCACCCTGGGAAGGTGGCTCACTCAAAGAAAACTTGGAAAACCACTGGGTCCCTCTCCATCTCCAATCCTCCCCACCGCCAAACCAGGTCAGAGTTCTCAGGAAGGTGCCTTGGTGTCCCCTGGCACACAGTCTTCATGCAGTTGGTGCTTCACAGGTGATGGGTGTATTTCTTACATTCTATTTTCATCATGTCATACTTTCAGGTTCATAAAGCTCTATTGGAGTCGAATTAAAACATGTAAGATAGGTGACATAATGTAAACATCCTGAATTAAAAAAATAACCTTCATGTGTGTTTAAATTTAACTTTTTGAGATAATTTTGGATTAGAAGGCCTTCTAAAGCATAGTGTTCAAAGTAAAAACCACACTATGGGGTTCCCTCTTTCTGCAGGGAAGTACAACCGGAATGCTCTATCCTCAGGTCTTATGATGGACTCCTTGTCATTTGGGTCTCCGTGCATATGTTTCTTTCTCTAAGGAGTCTTCCCTGTGTACCCGGTCTGAACATCCCAAGTTTCTCATTACATTATCCATGACACTCACCACTCTTGTCCTTTTTTAGTCATTGGTTTCTTGCATATTATCTGTCAAATAGACAGTTAGCTGCATGGGAGCAGGGACCTGGCCCTAATGTCTAGATCAGACTCTCTTGCAAATTCCTCTGTACTAGCCCTAGGCAGATGCCTGGTACATGGGACTTGTTAAAATTGAGACCTTACTCCATGTCAGGCTCCCTATGTAATCCCACCTGCTTCTAAGCCTCACAACTGTAAACTGTAGGAATTATTCCCAATTTTTAGACCAGTGATTCCCAAAGTGGGCGCTACCGCCCCCTGGTGGGCGCTGCAGCGATCCAGGGGGGCGGTGATGGCCACAGGTGCATTTGTTTTAACTTTTTTTGTATTACCTTTCTATTCTGAGTTCAATAAATAGTTTCATAATTTCAAACTTCAATGTTTCTAATTTACACCTTTCTTTACTATATTTTACGGAAAAGGTAGAAACATTAATACATATATCTTTCTGTTTAATTGCTATTAAAATTTTAAAAAAATTAATTTCCAGGGGGCGCTGAGTAATATTTTTTTCTGGAAAGGGGGCGGTAGGCCAAATAAGTTTGGGAACCACTGTTTTAGACGAAGAAAGATTCAAGGAGGCTGAAATCATAGCTGAAAAGACAGTCTGATGCTCAAGTCTAACCCCCTTCCCACCACTACTGACAATGTGGATTCCAAATCTTTCCCTCCTGTCTCCCACACACTAATTACCACAATTAACCACAGGGATGAAGCACTGAGCTTAAATATTTCTTCTTGGAACTAAATGTATTAGCAAAGCAGGGAAAACATCAGGAAGTTCAAACAAGCTGGTGGAGCCCACACACCCTCCTCACAGATCCTTGGGTAAACAAGGGTGGATGGGTTAGTAGCAATTTAACTTACTGGCTTAGGAATTATTTTGACAAAGGTCACACAACCTGACTATCTAGGAAATCTACATCCAGCTGCCTTAGTAACCACTTCCAAAATCTCAGCTTTTGAAGAGTTTGTGAACGGTTCAGGCATTTTCTCTTTCTTTGTGTCCCTTTTCTCTCTCTCGCCATAGTTTTGACTTTTGACTAGTTCGCTGCCTTAAAAGCAAACAACAACAAACCTCTCCAAATCCAGGAATAAGCTGGAGGGACCAAGAGGAGAGAAAACCGGGGAAGGTGCCAGCAACTTTGGGAAAGATGGGAAAGGCATATAGCTCTTGTCAGGCCCTTCACTGTCCTCTCTGCCTATTTACATTCTCATCAGATAAATTACAAGTTGCCTACCGTCTCAATTTCCAGCTGATACACACTCTTCCCGTCGCACCCACCCCCACCACCCCCAATTTCCGGCCCGGTTCGGGGCTGTGACGTGCCCTGTGACTGCAGACAGCCTGCGGGTGTTGTCAATACCTGGGCGCGGGCAGGGGCTGAAACCCCAGCCCAGCGAGCAGTACGAAACCGACTCATGACTGTGCCCAGTTCTCCTCTCCTCCCGGTTGGGCTCTCGCTTCAAGCAGCCCAAGAAGTGACTGCACAACGAGTCAGACGAGACAAGTGGGACCGGGGACTTCTCATCTGGAAGTGAGAGATGTGGGCGGCCCAGGCGGGTCCCGGCGCTCCCCCCGCGGTCCGGGGCGCCTGACCTTTCGCAGCCACGGAGGGCGCAGCACGGACTCCGGTCCGGGCACGCCCTCTGGCCACTGGATGACGGCGACAGAGGACTCTGGAAGTGAGTCAGAGTGGCTGCAGGCGTCTTTCTCAGATGAGACTAG